AACCTGGATTTGGAAAATGAAGCCGTTTTTTTTCAGGTATTTTGGCACCAAGAAAATGGCGCTTATGGCAATTCAATGCTTTACCTGGATCTTGGTGCCAAACACCTGCCTAAAATTTGGCTTCACTTTAGTTTCATAAGCAGAATGGCGCGTTCCTACTCCTTATGTCCGTAGGACAGCGCTTTCCTGCTCTAATCTCAAACCATTTAAAATGCGTGAAAGCCAGCGCATCTGTTCTTTTCAAATCGGGGTCGACTAGCACCGGAGCGAGTAGCTCTAGTGCTCTAAGCTCTTGAAAGGAATACAACTAATGAGTAGTTCAAGTTACAGTGACTCTATTACCCACAGTGGCGACAATTGACCTTTTCAATTTAGAAGCCTCTCTCTCTGGCGTCAGACTGTCAGATGCCAAAAGAGTATGAAAAGTATGAAAACAATGATTGACAGCTATTGACAATGGTTTGTTGACAAGAGTTTTATACGTGTGCGAGACTGGAAACTATTACTTCCTCGGTTTTTTCAAGGTTTTTTCCTATTAATGGTGATTGTGTGTAGTGTGCCTTTTCGTGAAGATAATTCCTATTCACCGGCGGACGTGTCTTTCCATAAGTTTTCATCAAATCCTACATTTGTCAAAATTTGGATACACAAAATCAGAACTGATACTCGCAAAAGTAAGGGAAATCCACGACCCATCAAGTATACAAAGATATCCACGTTCAAGTTTAGTTTGCGGAAGCTGTTTGCTTGCCACATTTTCTTTCCAATTTCAAATTTCACCATTCTATGTCGGTCATCGTCATTTTCCATTCACTGAACAAAGATACCTAACTCAGCGGTGGAGTCACCGATTAGAATAGAATAAAAACCAGGGAATTGCTAAACACCCTATACACTTGACATTGACGAGCAAGCAAATGTTGGCGGGAATCTGAATGTTTTCATACTTTATCGTCCATCTCTTTTAATTGAAAACGTCAATTGCTGTCTCATTTTTGATTGGTTCTAAAAACCCCGACAATTCAGCCCTTAAAGCAGATAGATCCAAAAACCACACTAACAGATACCATTAATATTGACTGCATAACAGAAGAGCAAGTTCTAAGGGCTTTGAAAGGCATTAAGCCCAAGGCAACTGTGGGGCCTGATAAGATTCCTGCGTTTCTTATATCTGATTGTGCCGATGTCTTTGTTGAACCCCTTACGATATTATTTAATCTTTCTTTGAAATACGAAGAATTTCCCTACTTGTGGAAACAATCCAAGATCATACCAGTTCATAAAAAGAACGACAAAAGTCTCATTGAAAACTATTGTCCGATCACAATTCTTAACAACTTCTCAAAATGTTTTGAGCGCGTTCTTCATACTGCCCTTTACTTCCCTATGAGAGATCTCATAGATACTCGTCAGCATGGCTTTATGCGAGGCAGATCCACTACTTCTAACCTCATTACAATTACTGAATATATTTCTGATGCAATTAACTCAAGCTCACAGCTTGACGTTATGTATACAGATTTCTCTAAAGCCTTCGATAGACTGGACCATGGCATTCTCGTTGAAAATCTACATAATCATTATGGTTTCTCTTCGCGCCTTACTAATATATGTAAATCTTACCTCAGCACGTTGAATGCTTTGGTCGTAGTTCTTCAAAAATCATTGCCTCATCTGGTGTTCCACAAGGCTCCATTCTGGGTCCACTCTTCTTTAACTCTTTTATCAATAAAATATCCGAGAATCTTAATGTCAAAAGTCTGTTATATTGTGATGATATGAAACTGTACTGTAACTACAAGAATCGTAACTGTAACTACTGTAGGGTGGACAGCATATCTGACTGCATTCAACTTCAAGCCGATCTAACTTTAGTAAACCAATGGTGCAAAAATAACAATCTGCCACTCAATGCTGCTAAGTGCTGTATAGTTTCATATTCTCTCAAAAAAAATCCCATTGAATTTAATTATAACATCGATAATTCTTCTCTACCCAGATCACACTCTTTTAAAGATCTAGGGGTGACCTTTGACACTTTTATGTCATTTCTTCCTCACATTTCCGATATAATAAGAAGAAGTTACAGAATGCTAGGCTTTATAATAAGAAATTCTAAGGCTTTTAATAGCATCCATAGTCTCAAAATATTATATTTTTCATATGTTCGTCCTATTCTAGAATATGCTTCCCAAGTCTGGTCACCCCATCATCAAATTCATATCCACGATCTAGAAAATATCCATAGGAGATTTCTAAAATATCTCTGGTTTCGTTGTGAGGGAGTGTACCCGGAAATCGGTTTTCCTCATGAGCGTCTACTTGAAAACTTTTCTACGAGGATATTAGTTGAGAGAAGGCAGTCGGCTGATGTACAATTTTTATTCAAATTAGTGAACGGTAAAATAGACTCTCCTGAGCTCTTAGAACAACTCAACTTTCATATACCTCGGATATCATCAAGAAATCCACAAACCTTTTATTTGGCAAAACCGAGAACTGATATAGGAAAATTCTCTCCTCTGCGCAGAGCATGCAACATGTATAATTCTGTTCAGGATCAGTGCGACATTTTTAACTGTAGTCTATCAGAAATTAAAAACGTGCGCTTAGCTCAGACATAATTGTTCTTTCCTGTATTTTTTTTGTATCTTACTAGAGGTTGGGAACAAGATGGCGGCGGGACCTCTATAGGGCAATCCAAACAAAATGGTGGTCAATGCATGGCCAATGCCAAAAAATTGGCGCCATAAATTTAATTCAAGCAATCGTGACATTTTTCATCAAAAAACTGTTTTTTGTGTATTTTGTGGTGCTTTTAGATGATTTTCTAGTGTTTGAGAGGATAATTTTCGTATTCTAAGATGGAAAGTTTTTAGTTTAAGAAATTATTAGTAGAAAAAAGGCATTGGCCTCCATTTTGACAAGTCGTTGGATTGCCCTCATGATACTAAAACACAGAAGATATGATCATTTGGTGGACAAAATTTGAACCAGTTCGCGCATGACGTCATCGCGTAACAAAAATGTATGGAGATAATAGAGAAATTAGCTTGTTCGTTATGATTTGACTGGCAAATCAGAGTTTCTCGTGATAATAATTCAGATATACAAAATAAAACACGATCCAGCGTATAGTGTATAATTTATTTTATATAAAATAGCTATTTAGAAAATGTTTTTATCATTGAATTGAATAAAACAAATTCCAGTCCCCACAGGTAGAATTTAACAAAAATGTGAAAAATGTCACAGTTAAATAATATGTTAAAAGTAAACAACTATAATAAATGAAAATTGGAACAGCATTACACCACACATGGCTACTACATACTTTTTATTTTTGACCAAATCCCTTTCATTATTTCTTTTGTCATAGTCTTTCTGTTTAGATGTTTCAGCTTTCAGAGATTTAAATTTTGATACTGAAGTCCAGCTTCCGATAGCGTTTTTGCACCCATATATCACAATTATATCGATAACTAGGCATGTTTTTACTTTTTTTATTATTGTTACTGCTACCTGCTACAATCCACGACCGCACAGTAAACCATGGTTTATATTTATGCTAACTATTATTAAAGAAACTCAAACACAAATGAACAGAATACAATTTCAACAAAGAGATTTTCACGTAAGAACGGACAAAAATACTAATAAACAGATAAAACGATTAAAAACGAACAAAAACACGCCAAGACGCCATTAATCGGACCGAATTTGTCACAGGATGACGTCAGCGGAGGGAGAGAGACAGAACATAAACATGCGCGTGATCTTATCTTATGTGTTCTAGTATCATGGATTGCCCTATTGTCGCTACCAATGAACTATAACCAAAAACTGGAATGCGAGCACATAGACGAACGTGAAGCCTAGTGCGGCTGCTGCGGAGGGGATACCTGTTTTTGTCGCACTCATTATGTTAAATGGCGAAAATTTCTTCCAACACGTATTCCAATTGATGAAACCTGTGAAGGGAAATATGACAAAACTTTCGAAAACATCATATGTCAGCGAGCAACAGAAAAAAACACAATTCCCCCTTGTGGCATCTGTCTTTCATGGCTTCATTTTTTTGACAGATATGGCAATGTGTGCACATTCCAGTTTTTAGCTATAGTTCATTGGTCGCTACTGTATATAATAGCTATTTATACAATAAGTTACGAAATGAGCGTCTTTTAGGCACGCGACGTGAAAATTGTCCAACGAGGCAAAGCCGAGTTGGACAACACGTCGAGTGACTAAAAGACATCGTTTCGTAACGTATTGTATACAAGATTTTTTCTACTGGCATTTTATAATAAAAAAAACACAATTTTATTTCATGTGAATAAGTCGATTACACCCAAAATCTTTGTCACCTGCTTTCACTTGACACCTGACACTTTTCATGCGATTTTCTTTTCAAAATTCGGCATCAATAATTAAAATCCTAGAAAGTAGGTAATAACACAAAGTTCTGTTTTGAGTAACCCAAACGTTCAATTCAGTAATTCCATTTTCAATATTCATAATAAATACAAAACAAAATTCAAATATGTGGTTAGTGTTGTTTTTTATTTCTGAATAATGAATGACACTTTTAGGCACTAGTGCTTAAAAATTACTTTTACGCACTCATAAGTCACTTTTACGCATTCAAAAGTCACTTTTACGCACTGAGTGCCTAAAAGTAACTTTCACGCACTCAGTGCCTAAAAGAATGTCGTTTCAAAACTGAAATGACAATCGAAAAGTTGCTATTATGAAACGTCAGTAGAAAAATGTTTATTAAGCCACTGTAGTTCAAGTGTACGGCACTTTAAGCACTGGAACGCGCGAAGTAATTGTGGAGCACCCCTGAGCTGCTCAGGACTAACTCGAGTGGGTCACTGGGAAAGCATCTTTCCTGTGTCACGTCAGTCAATTGTCACTGTCAATTTGAAGTTCCTAACAATCCTAACCTACAACTTTTTAAATTTTAAAAATCATAACAAAAACAAATGCATTCTTGTGTTTGCATGCAACTTGCATTGGCTTATATTAGATTCTGGCAAACTTATAACAAAAGTATTTTGATAATTCATAAATAAGAAACATTCAAGAACTAAAATGAGGTAAATGTAGTCTGTTTAATTATGTTTTTATAAAGCTACTAGAAGATTATTTCGTTTTTCAGGTTAAGTGTAGATGGACTTCTTGTGTATTTTCCTTACGAATATATTTATCCTGAGCAGTATGCTTACATGTGTGAGCTGAAGAAAGCATTAGATGCAAAGGTAACTTATTACTACTTTTGTAATTAACATTTTCAACTCCATAGTTATTTCAATGAATACCTATGTCTGAATACTATAAAAGACACTTTGCATTACCGGTTACTTGCAGGGACCACCTTTTACCCTTTATTAGTATGCAGGTATTTTCCCTTCCTGTCTGAAACTTGCAAGGGTCTTACCTCTTTACAAGGGTGGTGACTGCGATACACCCTCAAGTTTCAGGCCAATCTCTTTGTTGCCTACAATGTCTAAAGTAATAGAAAAGCTAGTCAAGGCACGTTTAATGAGTTTTCTTAAAAAACATAGTATTCTTTGTTGTGAACAGTTTGGATTTCAGAAGTCATGTGGCACAAATGATGCAATTTCGCATTTTTGGAGAAACAATATTTGGGATTAAATAACGGTGATGTGGCAGCAGAGGTTTTGTCAAAGGCCTTTGACTGTGTCAATCATAAAATAATGTTATGTAAGCTGGAAGCCTATGGGGTGAGGGGGGTAGCTCTAAAGTGGTTTGAGTCCTACTTTTCTGAAGGGGTACAGAGAGTTACTTTTGATGTTGTTGATTCAGAGTAACTGGCTATAAGTGCAGGGGTTCCACAAGGATCTGTTTTGGTACCTCTATTATTTTTATTGTACATCAATGATCTCTCTAGCATTGATATAGTTGGGGTATTTACACTTTTTGCTGATTATGCCACGATTCTCTGGGTAAATAAGGATGTAGAACAGCTTAAATCGGATATTAATAATTATTTAGTTAAGGTAAAAGAATGGACTGATGCGAATTGTTTAACTTTTAATGTGTCGAAGACAAATGTGTTAACATTTAAATGTGGTTTTGAGGGAATTACCTTAGGGGTAGATACTGTTGCCAGTCAAAAATCAAGTAAGTTTTTAGGAGTATACATAGACGATAGATTAAAATTTGAGCTATCTTAACATACATGAGCAAAAAGGTGTCATCAGGATATTATGCAGTCAGAGTAATATCGAGTAAGCTAGATCTTGGGACAACAAAAAGTGATGCCGGTACATTTCACGGACACACAAAATTTGCGTTTTTCTGAATTTTATCAGAAAGAGGGTACTTCAACTTGTTTATTAAAAAAAAAAAATGCGGATTATCCAGTATTTAAAAAAAAAAAAAACAATTTTTAATTGTTGTAAATGTGATATTCGCGATGTTGTCGCTCCGTTCGCTGGATCTCAAAGAGAATATCCTTGAAAACGTAATTCCACCAAAAACCAGAAAAACCTTTTTTTAAAAAATAATACCTTGAAATTCAAATTATTTATAAGTTCTCCATTGCTCGCTCCGCTCACCAAATCTCAAAGAAAAGTTCCTCGGAAACGTATATCCACCAAAAACGGGAAAAACCCTTTTTCAAATATAACACCTTGACATTTAAATTATTTTTGAGTTATCGATTGCTCGCTTCAAAGCTCGCTCCGCTCGTCAAATCTCAAAGAGAAGATCCTTGGAAACGTAAATTATATATCCACCAAAAACGGGAAAACCCTTAAGGGCCCCATACATTACGATGAAATACGACGGTTTTCATTGCCGCAATGAAACACGTCGTTCCAAAACCGAAGTGTGTGGTAGAAAACCGTCGTGTTTTTCTACCACACACTTCGGTTTTGGAACGACGTGGGGTCAACTTTCGTTTAGCAGAAATCAGCTATTAGAATAAAAAATAGAAAAATGCCTTCAAAAAGCCTCCATAAAAACGAAAACACACAAATTTTTCTTCGGAAATGCTTCATTTTACTTTAGAATAGTTGAAATCAATTACGTGAAAAATTGATATTCCTTTGCATTGTAAACATTTTTCTGAATGTAAAAAAGGAAATACACAGTTTCTATTTTCGAAGCCATTCAAAAAACGCCTCTTCCCGACCTTTGATTAAAATAAATGCGGAAAATGCATATTTTCCATCAGAAAATTATATTTAAAATTGACGATTTGGCCCACCCTTCAAAAATCAACTACGAAAATTCCCTACTATCGGTCGCTATCAGCGCGCTTTGTTATCAACCAGTACACTTTAACCAGTAATAAACGAACTGTAACGAAACTAACCAAGAATATGCAAACTAACCCGTCCACATAATGCGTGCTAGTCCTTGCATGTAAATATCGAATCTAGAAAAACAACAGCGCGCTTTGTTATTAACCAGTAGTCCAGTACACTTATAACCAGTATTAAATGAACTGTAACGAAACTAACCAAAAATATGCAAACTAGCCCAAACTAGCCCGTCCACATAATGCGTACTAGTCCTTGCATGTATTGAATTTAGAAAAAAAAACATCATGCTTTGTGCGCTTTGTTATTAACCAGTAGTCCAGTACACTTATAACCAGTATTGAATTAACTGTAATGAAACTTAACAAAAATATGCAAACAAGCTCAAACTAACCCGTCCACGTAATGCGTACTAGTCCTTACATGTATTGAATTTAGAAAAAAACAGCGCGCTTTGTGCGCTTTGTTATTAACCAGTAGTCCAGTACACTTATAACCAGTATGGAAATGACGCATTTCCACAGAAAAATTTATATGTGTCTGATAAAAAGAAGACTTTCTGAAAACAACTGTAACAATATTTCTTAAATACCTGATTTCAGTTAAACGAAAGTTGAGTCACGACGTATTTCATCGCGGCGATGAAAATCGTCGTGTTTCATCGTAGTGTGTAGGGCCCTTAAATCAACCAAAAGCATGAAAACCCCTTTTTTAAATAAACACCTTAAAATTTAATTTTTTTTTTTTTAGACTGCTCACTTATCTCACGAAAAAAATGTACAAAGAATATAGTTAGTTTAACGTGAACAAGCATCAACTCAACACAGAGTGGAAATAATTGATTTCTCAAAAACTACTGGATAAACCGCAATTTTTTTTTAATACTCTATATAAGACCCTCTTTCTAATGAAATTTAAAATTTTGCAAAATTTGTGTGTCCGTAAAGTGTACCGGAGCCTAAAAAGTCCATACTTTGCACTAGTTGAATCCCATTTGCGGTATGGAATATGTTTCTGGGGTTTTTGTTCATTGTCTCTCTTTAATATTTTGTTTGTTTTGCAAAAGAGGGCGGTAAGGTATATGTTTAAGATAGTATTACGAGACTCATGTAGACCATTGTTTTTGCGTCATAAATTGCTTACATTTCCTGGTATTTTTTTACTAGAGACTTCATGTCTCCTTCATGAAAAGTTTAAGGAGATCATACACAAATTTTCATCTGTACATACCACTCGACAAAAACACAATGTGAACCTTCCTATCCCTTCCTCCACACAAACAAAAAACTCAATAATCTATCAAAGTAAAAAGATCTTTAACCATCTGCCACTGCATCTGAGACAGATAATAATATCTGGTAAAAAATTTAGAGTACATCTTAAGAGGCTTCTATTATCAAAGGCCTACTATAGCACAGAAGAATTCTTCCAAGATGCTTTCTTGTGACTTTGTTTGCATATAGTTTTGTAGTTTTATTTAATAACTTCTGTGTTTGTTGACTTTACATTTGTGCAATTTTGATATTTTTTATTTTATATTATAGAATGAACATGTTTTTGTATTTATGTTGATTTATGTTTATATTTATGTTGAATTTTAAAGTGACTTCATAGTTTGTTTTAATGACTGTTTTGATGATTTTATTGTTTTAGTCTGACCTTGTATTGTATTTTTATTTTAATTATTTTAATCTTGGTACTGTATGGCCCTGGAATTATTTTTGTATACTTTTTCTTTTTTTCTTTTACAGCTTTGTCAAGGAGAATTTTGTTCTTAGACAATAAAGCATTTTTTGATTTGATTTGATTTGATTATAACTATATTGCAATACAGACTTTTTTGTTAGGATGGGTAACGAGCCTTGCCTTCAGCAAAAAAACTATTTCAGGCGTCAAAAAACTATTTTATTATTATTAATTATTTCTTTATTTTCAAATTACATTCAGTTTATGCATAATAGACCGGGAGTTAGACGGATATGAGTATGCAAAATGTGAGGACCGGCAAAAATGCTTAAATTCATATTCGTGTGATCCTGAAAAATTGGAAAGTACATCTTTCCGGCAGCTGGAGTGGTCCCTGGTCCCTAACTCTCTTGCCATCCCCCAGTGCAAAGTTATATTGAAAATATCATAATTTTAAGTCATTTCACAATAATTCCAATTGATTGTACCTAAGGCTTTCTTCTCAAGCCTCGTCTCAAGCACACAAAATAAATTACCTACCACTTGTTGGATATCTCTGCAATTCTGCTCGAAAATATGCACCAGTAAAAGAAGACTGTGAGTAAAAGAGACAACGACGACTGAACAGGGGCTTATTTTTGACCTTATATATATGACCTCGACAGACTATCAAAAACTCTTTTGCTTTTTGAAAATGTATTTTTAATAATCTTTAAAATAGTTATAGCCTGTGTCCTATTCCTTGTGTCTGGAGCCTGGTTCAGAGATTACGGTTTGAATCCATTCTTGCATTCTGAAAATTTTTTGCAGCCCGTAGTGTTCTTCTTGTTGTTGCAGAAGTGCTGCAAACTGGTCTTGTTCTTCTTGTCCTCGATATTTTTTATATAGTCCACTACTATTTGTTAAAACTTGCTCCATTATGGTTGTTTACTGTTGTATATCTAGTATCTACCACAGAATACTCTACTCTGTATATTTTTTGGTATATTTTATTGTCTAATTTCCAAATAGAACACGATGAAGTGTTCTAAAAAATCACTCTGTGTATTTGTTTTTCGATGTCAAAACAGAGTCACTATTCTTATACCACTTATCCCAATGAGAAATTATTAGTAAATTTCTGGAATTTTCCAGAAAATCCGGTGATGAACTTTTTTTTTCATGACCGACTGGAAAATGTGCACTTGCAGATTTTTTCTGTTGGAAAATAACCTTTTTTGGTAACTGTTCTTTACAAATTTACTAATCACTTTCAATTAACTTTATATAAATACATACCTTATAGAACAATTTCAACTATAATGTAACTTACAATTTACAATAATACAACTCCAAAAATCTATAAAATGTACTAATTTCATGAATTCTTGCCATTTGATATCTTATCTTATATCCTTCTGTATACTTAACGTATGTTAACTAAACTATATTCAAAGAAGGATTAATAATAGTATAACTTTTGTTTTTTTACCGGTTATTTTGCAAATAGGTAGTTCACTTGGTTGGATTTAGTACTATAATAGTGTAATTATTGTTCAGGGCCTAATATTGTTTTAGGGTCACTGCTTACTGGAAATGCCGTCAGGAACTGGAAAAACCACCACACTTCTCTCTCTTATTGTAGCCTACATGATTGAACATCCATATGATGTCAGGAAGCTTATATACTGTTCTCGAACGGTACCTGAAATAGAGAAAGTCATGGAAGAATTAAAAAAACTTCTCGATTATTATGAAAAACAAGATGGTCAATATCCGTCCCTTATAGGTTTAGTTTTGAGCTCTCGTAAAAATATGTGCATTCACCCGCAAGTAAGTACTGAAAGAGAAGGCAAAATTGTTGACGGCAGATGCCATAGTTTAACAGCAAGTTATATAAGAGAAAGGCATAACATTGATAACACTGTACCGGTATGCCAATTTTACGAAGGATTTTCATTAGATGGGAAAGAAAGCAATCTTCCTTATGGCGTCTACAACTTGGATGAAATTAAGCAATATGGAAGAGATAGGAATTGGTGTCCATATTTTTTAGCGAGATTTGCTGTAAGTTTTTATTTTATTTAGTTCAGTCTGTAAAATAGATAAATAAGTGGCAGCAATTTTGGTATTAGGTTTGCTATCTCACATTTTTACCGATGTTTGTAGGATCATATGGCATAGCACTCAATCCAATCAAAAAATTATTCGTTTAAATTTTTTAGAAGATATAAATTTGTAATTTTTTACCAAATTTAAGATGATTGCTCCACTTCATCAGCAGGAGGAAATGTTACACTTTGCTCCTTTGTTATATAAATAACTATGGTTGATCTTGGATAATAGGTAGTTTATTTGCCATTATGCCATTCAATCATAGTTTCATATGACTTCAGCTTCGCCACTTATTCGGCCTGTTCGCACAGAAATTAACAACCAGACAGAGTAAATTTCATTAATTGAAAACAATCAGAAACAGTCAGATAACTCAACCAATGAATTTCACTCTGATTGGTCTGTGATTTCTGTGCGAACAGACTTAGGTGAGTAAACTCAAGACAAGACAATTTTTTCAAGAAGGCTTATTTTCACTTCTATTTATTTTATTGCAGATTGTTCACGCAAATATTATCGTCTACAGTTATCATTATCTACTCGATCCTAAAATTGCTGAGGTAGTCTCAAAAGAACTAGCCAAGGAGTCGGTAGTGATTTTCGATGAGGCGCACAATATTGATAATGTGTGTATTGATTCTATGAGTGTCAAAATACACCGCAGAACCATAGAACGTGCTACTGCCAATATCGGAACACTAGAAAAACACGTATCAGAGTAAAAATAAAAATTTGTTAAGAAAATTAACGTTATTGATATTCATTGCAGAATGAGAGATGAAGATCACAGAAAGCTGCAAGAAGAATACCAAAAACTTGTAGAGGGTCTCAGAGATGCTAATGTTGCACGAGAAACTGACTTGATACTGGCAAATCCTATCCTACCTAATGAAGTCCTTCAGGAAGCTGTACCTGGCAATATTCGTAACGCCGAACATTTCCTTTCTTTTCTGAGACGCTTTGTCGAATATTTAAAAACTCGTTTGAGAGTGCAGCATGTAGTCCAAGAATCTCCTGTAGGATTTTTAAAAGATGTCCAGCAAAAAGTCTGCATTGAGAGAAAACCTTTAAGATTTTGCGCGGAACGTTTGGCTTCACTTTTAAAAACTCTGGAAATAATGGATATGACTGAATTTGGTCCACTTACTCTTATTACACACCTTGCAACGTTAGTTTCGACTTACACTAAAGGTTTTACGATTATAATTGAGCCATTTGATGATAAAACCCCCACAGTATCAAATCCCATTTTCCATTTTAGGTGAGTTTATTATCATCTATTATTAATATTGTGTATATTTTTTCTTTTTCTTTTCAAGTTGTTTAGATTCGTCAATAGCGATAAAAGGAGTTTTTGATAGATTTCAAACTGTCGTTATAACCTCTGGGACTTTATCGCCCCTGGATATGTATCCGAAAATTTTGAACTTTCATCCTGTGATAATGACATCCTTTACCATGACTTTGGCAAGGCCTTGTTTGTTGCCGATGGTGCGTATGCGTATATCAACATGGATATTACAATCTGAATGTTGACTTATTTCATTTTTTTTACGTTTTTTTTTCTAGATAGTGTCAAAAGGCAGCGACCAAGTAGCTATATCTTCCAAATTTGAAACTCGTGAAGATAATGCTGTGATTAGGAATTATGGACAACTTTTGGTTGAGGTATTCCTAGTATCTGATCTTTATTCTCAGTACAGACCTTTACTGTAATTACATTTTAGATGGCCGCAAATGTTCCTGACGGTATTGTTTGTTTCTTCACCTCATATTTATATCTAGAATCTGTGGTGGCAGCTTGGTACGACCAGGGCGTCATTGACAACTTACAGCGGTACAAATTACTTTTTATAGAAACACAAGATTCTGCTGAAACTAGTTTTGCTCTGATGTATTATATTAAGGTAAAATAAAGTTGTAAATCTTTAAATTGCATTCAATATATTTCATAATTTCTAGGCATGCGAATCTGGCAGAGGCGCTGTTCTGCTATCAGTAGCAAGAGGCAAAGTTTCAGAGGGCGTAGATTTTGATCATCATTTGGGAAGAGCAGTATTAATGTTTGGCATTCCATATGTCTATACGCAATCGAAAATCCTGAAGGCGAGGTTGGAATATTTGAGGGACCAATTTCAGGTAAAGAGGATGTTTATGTTACGTTACTTACGGAAACGTTGGGTAATTGATTTTAGATTAGTTCACTAACTAAAAAACGAGAAAAATTCAAAAACGTACACTGTCACGGTTTGTTTGTGAAGGGTTCGCCAGTCAAATAATTTCCTGAAAAAATTGAAAAGCTTTCATAAATCTTAATAAAACGCAAGTGACATTTTTATCTTCTTGCTTTTTTTGCAAGACGTCCATAGGAATTCGCAACTATTTTGGAGGTTTCAAGGAAGTAAAACATCGGTACAGGCGAATTCACATTTTTTCGACTTGAAATGTATAAATCAAATAAATCAAGCACAAATCAGCCAATAAAACAATTCACATTAATTAAATACGACCAAACAATTGGCCAGAAGAAATATTTAAAGCAAGTTTTAAGTATGCTTGCGGCTTGATGGCAGAAAGAACAATGTAGAGGAGGATCTTAAAATAGGGTTGTAAACAACATCCTAAAGATATTCCAACTTAAATAAAAAACATCGCATAATCCACAACAGTTTACCAAATGCGCTTGCAATTTGATATGTGGAACTTAAGTTCTGTAAGTGGGCTGAAATTATTACTAATTTGGGGTGTCAAATGTATTGGTATCCAAGATAAGGATGGGATAGCATTAGGATCTGGAGAACGGTTGGAGTTAAAATGTTGGTTAGATTAGGAAAAAGTTGCGCAATTTAAGCTCAATATAATGGTACTTTGACATTTGAAAAATTCCGAATATTTTCCGAGATATCCGGAAAAAACCAAAATAAATTTCATTTCACTTCATGGTTACCACTTTTCCTACTCTACAAGATGACGTTATCAATTTTAAAATTTGACGTTTCGTCTCTGGGCCACCATCATTAACTTAATTTTTTCAAATACGGATTCTCATTTTTTAGTTTAAATTTTATAAGCTTCTGATGTCCCAAGACCAATGACGTATTGCACTTTTTCGAAACATTTAAGGTAAATGCACCAGTGATTGACAGTGCTCCAGTAATTGACACTTAAAGGTAAATGTTATCAAAACAAGCTAACTCGACGTCCCAGAGCCATTCTCAATGAAAAAACTTCATTAATATGATATTTGGCAACACTCTACCAGCTATGAAAGAAATTAGCTGATATCTGCCAGTTATTTTAAAATGTGAAAAGTCTGGTTACCTGTCGGATGAGACAAATTAAAAGATTTGTTAAGGAAAACAAATCAAATATTATTTTTTATTCCAAAATGGATCAATGTTTAATTTATTCCATATGTTCAAGGGCAGAGTTTAAGTATGAAAGGTTTTTCAATGTGTATTTATTAGTAAAACACTATCTGAGATTGGCATGGGTGTCAAAGACTGGATCAAGTGATTATGATTGTGTACCAATTATTGACTGATGTGTCAATGAATGGATTTCGTAACAAATTTAACGCAATTATAGCAAAATATCACAATATTTGGCAGGACGCTCACATCTTAATATGAGTTTAAGACAGGGTTGGCAGGATATACAGTGTGTCCATAAAGTAACGGATAAATTCATTATTTTGAAAACGGTAGAATTTTTGAAAAATCGCTCAGACACGTCAATTTTGTTTTTTTGTTTGAAATTTTTTGATATATTTTTTATTATACAGGGTGTCTCAAAAATAGCTCCGCTGCTATCAACTTTGTTTTTTCAAATGGATCACCCAGTATATTATTACATTTATGGATTTTGCGGAAAATTCTAGACATATTTCATGTAAAATGTTATATACCTATATTCAACTGTTTCGGAAATATTGACAGTTGAAAATTGATTTTTTTGCAACTTTGACAGACTGTAAAACCTGAACGGGTAATTTTAGAGGAAAACGGATTTTACATTCCTGTCTTAGATTTTCATAAACTATCATTTGACACCAACTTTGAAGTTAATCCGTGATTGAAAATGCCGGTTAAATTTAATCTCCGGGTAAATTCAAAGTTGGTGTCAAATGATAGTTTATGAAAATCTAAGATGGGAATGTAAAATCGGTTTTCCTCTGAAATTAACCGTTCAGGTTTTACAGCCTGTCAAAGTTGCAAAAAAATCAATTTTCAACTGTCAATATTTCCGAAACAGTTGAAGATAGGTATATGACATTGTACATGAAATATGTCGAAAATTTCCCGCAGAATCCATAAATGTCATAATATACAGGTTGATTCATTTGAAAAAACAAAGTTGATAGCAGCGGAGCTATTTTTGAGACACCCTGTGTAATGAAAAATATATCAAAAAATTTCAAACAGAAAAACAAAATTGACGTGTTTGAGCGATTTTTCAAAAATTTTACCGTTTTCAAAATAATTAATTTATCCGTTACTTTACGGACACAGTGTATATCAGCGATAAATATCCTGATATTTATGCTATAAAAAAAAGTATGGTCTTTTTTTCTTATTTTATAGTTTTATTATTTTATGTTGAGAAGTTTAACGGCCGTAGTAGTATATTTATGAGAAGGAAATCAAAGGGATATCGGCCAAAACAGTCTATATTACGTCAATTATCAATTATTAGGTCTGTTTCTGCAGAAACCACAAACCAATCAGAGTGAATTTCATTGGTTAAAACTAGTTTTCTGACTGTTTTCATTTTTCAACCAATGAAATTCGCTCTGACATGATTTGTGATTTCTGCAGAAACAGACCTATTATTTTATTTATCTTTATCTACGTATAAGAAATATCAAGTCTTTAGGGCAAGTATTATGAAACTATTTTGACAGTTAACTAAATGTTAACTTCTGGAGTTACTATGAGAAATACCGTCATTTCAGAAGTTAACTTCTATAGTTATTCTTGTAACAGAATTAATAGTAAATTTCAAATCTCGGTTCAAGTACGTATTTCATGGGAATTACCAGAGACGCTTTTTAGAAATAGTTAAAAATTTATCTTAATGGGTTTTACAAACATATGGCGATTCTGGGAACGATAACTAATCTGGTCGAGAATTAAGGGAAAACACTTAAAGCAAAATGTATCAAGTTTTATTAGTTTTCAAGTCAAAAATAAGCCAAATTGACAAATTTATTAGGCAAAATTATGTGTTCTCCTAGATAAACACCAAATGTGATTCTAATCTGTAGCTGCACCGGATTACGACATATGTTTGTAATAAAGTATTCAAGAACGATAATTCCCAACGTTTTATGGCGAACCCAGATGTCAGAGAACTTATATTCGAAGCATGTGTGTTTGGGCTAAAACAATGATTACGGGTACCAGATTTTCCAAGATACAGTAACACAAAATTGTATAGAATAGGAAAATCAAAGGAGATAGTTAACTATCCAATTATTTTAGGCATAAATTAGTATTTAAGTATAGAATAATTTAATTCATTTCACACCCCAACTAGCAATTATATTTTATAATTTTTAACTCTCCGCTGCTATTTTATTTTATAATTAGTTTATTACTGCTCGTCGAACGCCATTTTGTTTTATTAAAATTGCAAGCGAGATAATTAAGCTTCTAAGAAGTATTCTGCTCTATAAGGTAGTCGTAAGAACGTTCTTGGAGCAAAAATACAAAATAGTTTAATGACAAATTTTAATATTGTTTTATAAACGTTTACACAATAATTTTATATGACTTTTTAGCTCACCGAACAAATCTGTTTTATATTAGATTTATATTGGTGTTATCTGATACCTACTAGTTTATTCGTTTGCGAACATCTATAAAATTGTTTTATTAGCGCTATGTGAAACATTCATAAAATTAATTTTTCATAAAAATTTGATATAAAGTTTGTTGTAAAAGTGGAAGTATGTATTTTTGATGATTTTACGTAATAAATTAGGTCAGCAATTGAAGGTATTGTGAAAAACCCACTATTTGCAGAGTTTTTTTAAAAAAAACCTTAAAGATAACCTCAAACATGGACTGTTCAATTTGTAAGCAAATTAAAGTGAAAAATAAAGAAATTTTTCCCTGTGACACCTGCAGTGAAATGATATGTAAAGAATGCGGAAATCTAACCGCTTCAGAGGTTAAAGTGCTACAGTTATCAACCAAAAGAGTTATGAAATTCCATTGTCCTCAGTGTATTGATGCCAATCCTACTGAGATATTCAAAAAGTTACTAGAATGCAAGGAATCATTAATAGCAGATAAAATATCAATTATTGATCTACTTAATGAAGAAATAGAAGGGTTTAAGAAAAAAAACATGTTGAGGCAAGAGGTGCAAGAGTACAGCTATAGCTATAGTCAAGCATTACAGGCAACAAGAAAACAAAAAGAAGAAGTAATCATAGTGAAACCAACAAACGTAGACCAGACAAGTCAAGATACCAAAAAAAGTATTGAAGAAAAACTAGACCCCTGCAATTTAGGAGTTAAGGTATCAAAGATAAAGTATGTACGAGATGGAGGAGTAGCTATTACATGCAATCAAGAAGATCATGAAGGAAAGTTGCAAAATGTATGTGATAATATTAAAAATTCATTAGGCCAAAACTATGAAGTGAAAATCCCTGAGAAAAAAAATCCACGAATGATAATTTTCAATTTAAACCAAGCAGTATTAGAAAATGAAGATAGTTTTTTGGAAAAATCAGTAATACAAAACACCATAACCACAAATGATGAAGTAAAACAATTAAAAATAGTTCATAAATATAAAAATAAAAAAAATATGATAAACGTCATACTCCAAATGGATTCAAATACATACCAATGCATTGAAAAGAAAGATAAACTTCATATTGGTTGGAAATCCTATTATTATAAAAATAGTATAAATGTCAGGCAGTGCTTCAACTGCTGGAAATATGGCCATATTGCCAAGGATTGCAGGAAACAGACACCAACATGTCAGAAGTGTGCAGGAAACCACATAGGGGGAGATTGCCAAGCAATGGATGTGTGTTGTGTGAATTGTAAATATGCTACAGAAATATTGAAAATACCATCGTTAGATTATAAACACCAAGCCAATGATAGAAACTGTGA